CTCAATGAACGCCCTTGATTAAATGAGACTTGGTCACCAACCGTTGGACAGTTAGCGTTGCCGTTGATAATGTCGTAGAAAAAAGTCAATGACGAATTGACACGTCGACGACGAAGACTAATCATGTTCAAGTCTGACAAAAACAATTTGTTGATGAAATGAATGCAATGATTCTACGAACCATTGAGATCAACTTTGGTGTGTTCGAATGAAATGAGTTCCTACGCCAAATGGAAATAATATGGAAAATATTCTTGGAATTTCTTATAATACTTGCGAGTACTGAAAGGTTTTATTTATTAACTTTGAATTCAATTGAATCCCAATTGGATGGTTTTATTAAACGAAACATTAATTATTTATTAACATTATTGGACTGTTTGCAAAGAACGACGAAAACGGTTGGATTCTTGACAACTTTGACATTTTGATCTACACACACAGATAAATACGTATGGTGGATTAGAAAACGTCAGCAATGAACTATACTAACACTTGGTGTAGCAAGTTCATCGATGGTGTGAACGGATAACACTTTTCAAATGAACGTTTATTTACACCACAATTTATTTTTCAAATATTTGGCCCATGTTCATCATACAGCGTTAATTAGTTAATTATCACTTTGTCGAATATTTGACTTTGAATAAAGAAAACCAGTCTAAAAACACAAACGCATATCTTAATTGCCAATGTAACCATTGCATTCATATATCTGCAATTAGTAAGAAAAAAGAAACGAATACATACTGAAATAGGATAAAATCAGATAAAATAAAACCACAGTTTATTTTGGATTTGATTCATTTCAATTTAATTGAATAAAAACGTACTGAAAATAGAGAATATGCTACAACAATTTTTGAAATCTTGTCGAGCACAAAATATTCTGGCTATTTTCCATTTATTTATGGGTATTCTCATATAAACGATTGTCGATTGTTGCATTTCAAATCGTTGTATTGATACTGTCCGTCGTACTTTCGGAAGTCAAGATAGTCCTCATCGTTACCGTAATGATCGGGTTGATTGGGGCCCCAGTCAGCGAATGTAAATTCTTGTTTTGTTGCTGGCCAATAGAATGTATCTTTTGCAATGGATTGTACATTGTTTTGCTTAGAATGATTATTTCGAAAGCTCAAATTCAACTGAAACGTTCTCTACATGAACTATCTGAAAGCAATCCCTCGAATCACATCGCAGCTCTTTATAATTTAACACTAAAGTGCATTTGATTTTTCAAGGACTGTGAATTTTTAACGAAGCGATATCTGGAAAATATGGGAACAAGTTGAATCATAGACCACCAGTAAACCGTTCCAAGGACACTCCATTCTGTGCATTTACACACAATCGATAAGCAATTAATCGCACAATATCATGGTCTGCAATCTCAGCAACAAATTTAGTGCATGTGTGTCTCTTTTCCATTGTTTGAATTTCGAATTCAGAGTATGCAAAGAATTCATTGAAAACAAATGGTTCTTCACATATTATATCTACATGAACTTTATCAAGAGAAATTCACTGCAGGGAAATTCAATCAAATTTCCACGATATATTTTCCAACAGCACGTAATATTCCATTCATTCTACAATATAAATTTTTGAAAAAGATGTGCTTTCCCTAAATATCAGTTGTAAACATTTTCGAAGTATACTGACTGTAAAAAAGCTGTTTAGAATCATCATAATAGAAAAAAAAACTGAATTTGCTTTTACGTTCATTTGAATTAATTCTGGTTACAAATTCTGATTCCATCCATAAGCAAATAAATTTTTATTTCTTGGTAAAAGTACTCCACACACTAATCGCATTCACGTTATTACTCTTCGCCATACACACACATGCGCGGAATCACAAATAGCCACTGATCAGCTGCACACAACCGTTCACACACATCCTTACAGCTGATTGTCTTTTGCCATTTCCTCTCAATTTCAATAAAGTGCTGTGAATATAGCAGTATTCTGGGTTTTTGGAGAGAATACCCTAAGTTAGGGTCCTTAACATTTTGTTTATTTGTTTATTTAACTTATGATTGGCATTCATTTCATGCGTTTCAATTGTATTTGTTTTAAATGAACATAGGTGGACATAACGGAGATTGGTTAAAATATGATGAAAAGAAAACAACAGTTATTTTGGATCATGTTAAAGGCAAATTTATTAAAAATTGAAAAGATCATAAAAGGGTTTATAAATTGATTTTTTGTTCCTCGAAAAATTGTTCGATTTTCGAAATCTTTTCAGGGGAAAATCATTTTAGTCATATTCGGCAGTGGATATTCGCAAACGAATCCTTGTCGATTGTTGCAATTCAAATCGTTGTATCGATACTGTCCGTCGTACTTTCGAAAGTCAAGACAGTCCTCATTGCCACCGTAATGATCTGGTTGATTGGGGCCCCAGTCAGCGAAAGTAAATTCTTGTTTTGTTGCTGGCCAATAGAATGTTCCCCGGCCCATGCTTGTGCCATATGCCCAAAAACCATCGCCGAAATCTGATCAATGCAATATTGAATTAAATAACGCAAAATGATGGACGTTTTTGAAGTTATTATTTAAAAAAATTTGGAGAATGAAATTATGCTCAAAATTCACTGTTTGATAAACATTCAATTATCTTGAGCAATTTGAATTTTTTGCTACTTCCACTTCTTACCTAAATCATTTAGTTGCATGCGAAGGTGAAAATATTTCTCTCTTGTATCAATGGTGGCCAACTGCATGCCCATGTTCGCACAACGATCTTTTGCTTCAAACCAAGTCGACTGGAATAGACAAACAGTTTGGTGGTTATGTAATAATTGTTAATGAGAATCAAATTAAATTCCAAACTCACATGAACCTTCCGATTGAAGTAATAATTTTGTTGTGGACAGCTAGAAGGTGTAAACGGAGCGAATTGTGAGGCTTGCGGTTGCTGTAGCAATTGAGGGGATGCCTGGGCCAATGCTAAGACTATTTTTGTGACAAAATAAATGAGGATTAATTTGTGTTGTGGATTTGATTTTGTCTACATCTGAATTGGTATTCGTAACATTTTAATCTAAACAACTTTGTTTATTATATTCATTCCTAAACGCACCAAGCACGATGAAGATCCACATTAAGAGCAGCTTCATTTTTGAATTCAATCTGAAACAGTCGATATGCGAACATTTATGAAAAAAAAAACTTTGAAAAATATCCACCACATTTCAATTCACATCGAGTGAAAGCAAGCAAAACAAAGACACGTTCAACGCGAACCACTTACAGGGAAGCGGCACCAAACGTAAATGAAGATTAACGCCACTCGCAATATTGACTTGCTATTTAAGTGATTCGCATTCGTTTTGTGCGTTCTGGACTTTTGTTTCTCACGGTTTCTGAGATTGATACGTTGTTATTCTAAATGAACCTATCAATTGAAGACCTTCACTTATTTATCAGTGACCTCTTCAACGAATTGTTTGTTTCGTATTTCATGATAACACACTGTATTGAAGAAACAGCGAGACAAAGAGGAAAAAGCAGACAATACTGATGTCCATGCGTTCGACCAGATAAAAAGAAAGCTACCATGCAAAATGTCGGTGTTTTTTTCACGCATTGTGTGAATCTTCGTTCCTTCATTAGTATTCGTGATACTCAACAAAACTTCGCATAGTAGTAGTTCTCTTTTTATCTGATTGAACGCATGGATGACAGTATCGTCTTCTTTTTCCTCTTTACCTCGCTGTTTCTTCATTACCATGCATGCACTTGAATAAACACCGCACTTTTCAGCATTTGATTAATTCGTAGGTCATGAAGCATATATGAAAATAGGAGCATACTCACTGCTACAGTCGATAAATTCTTAGAACAAAACAAAACTTTTTATCGAAAGCTCTATAATTCTAATGAACAGAATGGCCTCAGTTCATAAACCAACCGAATTTATTATTCCGTTCTTGATGATTTGTCGATTATATGGATGCGATGATTCAATGAACAATTCAGATCAGTGTTTGTGCTTAATATTGTTTGGTTTATTCATGTTCAGTGGAATCTAGGAAAAATTTTGTGAAAAAAATGTAAATTGTATTGCAATCACGGAAATTGAAAAATAATTTCAATGAAATTCCAATTGGTTGGTAAATTTATTCTGTTTTATTTTCAAATGCAACACAAATGGCTAAGAGAGCCATCTGAATGTCAAGTTCAAATGAATAAACTTGAATTGCTTTCAATCTGTTTAGTTTGAATGCAATGGGGGAAAGGCATTGCAGCGACATCTATTGAATGTCAATGGCACAAATATAAATTATTTCTTTCAGCAAGAACACTTAGAGTTGTAACAATAATCGCTCATATTTTACCGTATTGTTCCGTTGCGCACATCGTTTGATTGAAATCATTGAATAAAAACATAAAAAAAAAATATTAATTTAAGATACATTTGTTTTATTTAAAAAAATCTTTTTATATCTGCATAACAATGGGATAAATTTGGATACACATAATTCATTTTTTTTTTGTTTGTTTTTAATATCTTTGTTTCTCTGTTAAATTTACTTGCTTCTTATCAGTTATTATTCATTTGTTTGTTTGTTTTTTTAATATTTTCTTTTAAATATGGCCGACATCATCGTTGAATTTTTTTTATTATTATTCCCACCTATCTCAATGTCATATAGATAATTCTTTGCATCTTAATAACAATACGCAAAACCGCTTGGCAATGTAAATACATAGATAAATTTGTCTCTATTTGTTCTTTTTTTCTCGGTAACCTTAATCCATTTCCTACAAACTGTGTTCTGGGACCTTTTTTTTGTGTGTGTGTGTGTGTGTGAATAAAATTCTCTTTTTCGGTAATCTGTTGGTCAGTATTCACTTCATATGGTTTGTAATCAAATAGTGGATTCCGTTGTGAAGCGGAATGTGATTTATTCTTTGCACGACACAAATAACTGTGGAAACACTCAGTATTTCGTTGGAATTGAGGGGAAAATATGTTGAATAAAGCTATTGCACATTGATTTCTGTATATGTGTGTGTGTGTGTGTTTGTCTATGAGACGGAAATAGAGGGAAAAAAATTGAGAAAAGGAAAAAAAAGCGGGAACGCAAATTCGTGAATTGGAAATATTTAAGTAAATAGCATAAGTATACACTACCGTGCAAAAGTTTGGAACCACTAGGTATTTTTCATACAAATTGACCATTTTTGGTGGACCCATTAACATATTTCCGAAACACCTGCACTCTTGATATTTTGTGCATAGTTTCTACAACGTTTCAATAGTAAATCACAGAGGTTTCATCAAAAAATATTCACGTATTTAAAAAATATATCAATTTGAATTTGATCTATTTTAATCTTCATACAAATTTGATCATTTTTCACACAGTACAAATTCAAATTGCTATATTTTTGAAATTCATGAATATTTTTTGATGAAACCTCTGTGATTTACTATTGAAACGTTGTAGAAACTATGCACAAAATATCAAGAGTGCAGGTGTTTCCGAAATATGTTAATGAGTCCACCAAAAATGGTCAATTTGTATGAAAAATACCTAGTGGTTCCAAACTTTTGTACGGTAGTGTACGTTTGGTTTCCTTATTTATTATGGTTTTTTTAGTTAGTTTTTTTTTTTTCGTCTAAATAATGATGATTCGTACAATTTTACAATTTTCATAATCACCCGAGAGAATAGTTGGTTTTTTCTTTTTTTAATTTTTCTTTTTTATCATTTTCTAAATCATTTCTTTTTGTTTCTTGACGTAAGCCTAATTAATCTCCACCGAAAACTAAAAATGAAATGTTGAAACACCCAAATTAACATAAAAACAAAACCAAGAAGGCTGGTAGAGAGCACAATTAACGAGATAAATTTAGATATTTACTGTGTTTTTCCATTCAATGCAACGTAATTTTCATTTGTTCAACACCTAATTGTTGTCGCTTGTTAGTTTACACTGCGAAATGCTTAGATAGTGCGCGAATAGATGGAGAGAGATTATCCTCTTCTTTTAAAACCGCTGTTTCAATCGCACATAAAAGTGGACGCCACACTCATACACACACACACACACACACGCACAAAGGGACTTGCATTGTATGCTCTGTGTGTGTGCGTGCGTGTGCCTGTGCATTGAGTGTTTTTATAGTTAAAATTCATCCATAGTTTTTTCTTTATCCCTAAAAAAATAAAAGCTATCTGTTTTCACTTAATTTTTACACATTTTTTTCTAGTTTTTTTTTTTTGGTTTCTTCTTTCTTCTCCTGTTTATCTAGATCATTTTCGCTCAATGCTCCTTTTTTTATAGATATTTTCTAGACTACATAATACGTTAGACTTTAAAATTACCACCTTTAATTCATACAGTGTCTGTTTTTTTTTTTTTTTGTTACAATTTTTCTGCTTTGCAATCCGTTTTTGTTATCAATTGGATAAAATCGCGAATGTTATGTTCTATGCACCACTTTATAAAGATGGTCAAAGCTTCTAGTATTTATGTTTGTTAATTTTTCAATACAATCCAATTGAATGTCACCTTGTGTGTGTATGTATTGTTTTCATTTCCATCATTGGCATAGCATATTTAATATCATTTGTTTCTTTTATTCTCATTAAATCTATATTAAGAAAATGTGACACAAATATGATGCAGTGATTTGTCGATTCTATTGCCCGTTTTTATTTTTTAGTTTGTTTTTAGAATAGGTTTCATTTCCTTATTATGTATAGTAGGAGCGTGAAGGTAATATTTAGGAAATGAAATTATCAATAGAAAAGTGTCGGTTATATGGAGAAAGGGAGGGGGGTTGTGTGAGAGAGAGAGAGAGAGAGAGAGAGAGAGAAAGAGCGAGAGTTGAAAAAAATATAAATCAGCACGCGAAAATTTTCATTGCACCGCCCGAAGTTGATCGAAGTAAAAAGTATTTGCTGAAAACTCCGTCAATGCTATGTGTCATTGATGAAAAGTCCTTTTTTCGTGTTTTCTTCGTCATTCATTCCATCTTCATTCCAGCTGTTTTTTTTGTTCTTCATTCGTTCTTCTGTTTAAATACTTTTGTTCTTTAATTTGCATTCGAAACCGTATCACCTTTTCAACTAAAGTATCGTGTCGGATATATTGCACAAAATGAGGTGTATTTCCCTTCGTCGAGCACTCGAACGTCGGTTGCGTGCCAACGACCGTGTCCTTTAAAAGCAAGACACACATACACAAAAGCCATATTCTTAAGCACAACTTTTTCTATAACTCTCTCTCCCTCTCTCTCTCTCTCTCTCTCTCTCTCTCTCTCTCTCTCTCTCTCTTTCTCTCTCTTTTTCTCTCTCTCTCTCTCTTTCTTTCTCTCTCTCTGCGCGAAACGAAAGGGAAAGTAAAAAAGGGGAGCGAAAGAGCGAATCGATAAAAAGACCGAATGAAACATTTACAATGACGAGAAATCAGAATAGGAATAGAATTTGAAGAAGCGAGAAACAAACTCCAGTTTGAGCGAAATACGAGGAAAAGATTAACACAAATTTATGGATTAGAGCTCTCGAATCGTGAAAATTTCCGTCAACGATTCGAAATACGATGGATTGAAGAAAAAAAATAACAACAACGAAAAGGCCCATCATCAAATGAAACCACTTCAACTCATCTAAATAATTCGACAACGACACGATCGACGAAAATGACGACGACGACGACAACGACAAAACAAACTGAATTCATTCCGTAATCTTCTTACCACCTTTTTCTTCAATGAATGGCATTTATGATTGTTTTTACAAATATTTTCACATTGTGTAGGAAAAATATAAATTTACAATAAAAAAAATTAGAAGAGTAAAAAAAAAAAAAACAAAAATTCGAACACGTTCATTTTATGTACAGTACACACCTTATTAATATTTTAATTTGTTTTTATTATTCATTTCATATTTCATTTTCCTCGGAATAAATGCTCGCACGCTAAACTCAAAGGACATTCAACAGCAAGGCTTAGAAAAAACAACAGTCAAACCTATCACCTCTGGGACACATTTTCAAGCGAATGCATAGTAAATTTAATTGCAATGGAGAATAAAGCTGAGAATAGGTAGGAAGGGAGGGAGAGAAGAGAAAAAGTAAGTTAAAAAAAATGACTGAAAATCGATTTGATTCGAATTACGATTAGGATTTAAACGACTTAAAACTATGTTTAAGTTGAAATTAAGTCAATTATTCGTTTGGAAATGCACTATAGATTTGAATTTAGATACGGGATTATTGAATATTTTTAAAGGGCAATCAGAAGGTCAGATCGAATATAATTTGGGGAAAAAATAGTGCCACACGTTGATGGTTGAGATAATATTGGAGTGAATTTCGTTGATATTTATTTATTTTTCTCTCTTGCATGCAATAGGCAATATAAACGGTACAGGTAATCATGTGACTAGTTCGAAAAGTGGGGCCACACATTTTTTATAGTATGGGTAAATATCTGGTGTCTTTATGGCGAATTAAATTTGCCCATTTCGAATGGGTTTTTTGTCGCTGAAACACATCTGATAAAAGACATATGGAAAATATATCTTTGCGATATTCAGGCTAGAGATAGAAGAATGCTCATTAGTTTTGGCCTAAAATCAAACTTCGCCTCCAATATTCGAATAGATACATGATATTTGAAAAGCTGCTGTCCGCTGACGCTTGACGGTGACTGCATTCCCTTTTTTATTTGCTCTGACTTCCACTTTTCGTTCGATTAGTTTTTATTCCCTTGTTCTTTCTACGCGGCGCGATCAATTGAGCGAAACAGTAAGATGAGATTCTATCGTGATGATGAATTTCATTGTGGACATCGTGTAGCTCCATAGCGCATGCATACAGTCATGTATCGGTGTGCGTGAACCGTTTACTATGTTTAACACAGCAGCAGTGAGAAAGAAGAAGTTTTGCACACACGCGCTAGCCGCTATTCCACGATAAAATTCATCGTCATGATAGAATCTCATCTTAATGTTTCGCTTGGGAAGAAATAAAATCACAAAGAAAAAGGAAGTTAGGTGGACTATTTATATTGTAGGAGCGAGAGTTGACCCCGCACATGTGGTAAAAAGAAACGAGAGTGTGGGAAAAAAAAAATGGCGCAAACATAAAGAAAAGTCGTAGCTGAAGAGTTTCCTTCGCTGAGCGGCAATCCTTAAAATCATGAACGCAGAAAAAACAACAACCATAATATGAGTGAGGAAATAAAAGTGGGGAAAATTGGAAATCATGGAGAATAAAATTATAGGCGAATGTGATTAAGCAATTTTATGTGAAACCACAGAATTAAAATGATGACAAAATTGCCGAGGCATTGAGCTTTTTTATTTCTGCCTCCTATTCGTTCATTTGGTCAAAATGCGAAAAAAAAACCAGTGTTAACAGTTGTTGTTGTTAGCCGAATCGAATTTTGTAAATGAATGCATTGCATGTCGCGACGGAATTGCTAGTGAAATTGGTGTGTGCGCCGAAAACTAGACGAATGGCAACAGAAGCACATACAAAAAACGTCTACATGTCGGACGAATGGGAAAATAAAAAGGGAAAGGAAACCGAACCGTCGAAAAAAAGAGGAAAAAGCGCACGCATGCAAAGCGAAATTCGGAATAATCATGTGCGAGACTCAATTCCCATATCATTTGAACCATTCTGAGAACCGTTCTCATATCAAATTTATGTGTGTGTGTGTGTGTGTTTGGATGGAGAGTGAATGTGCGCGCCGCGACGCAAACAATAAAATAATTATGTGTCGACCGCTGTGTCGCTGTTGCATATATTTTGAAATAGGAAACGCACAATGGTTTTTTTGTGTTTTTTTTTCTTTTGTAAAGGAGGAAAAGGAGGTAGATCGAAGAAAAACTTAATATTCTTCACACACTGACTGATTTTTTATTCGTTAATGTGTGTGTGTGTGTGTGTAAGTGATGCGAAATGTAAGTGTTGATTTCTTTGTGTGTTTGTATATAATAATTAAAAATGTTTTTTTCCCCTAATGATAGCAATAATAAGTTCAACGTTCAGCCGTTGTGAAACCCAAACAAATTCTATAAATTTTCTTTTCTACGGCCTTTTTTTATTTCTTTCTTTTTTTTTTTATTTCAAATAATTTTCTGTAGTTTAAGTAGATTGCGCGAGCGCGAGCGCGCGCGGAGATGTAGATTTGCTAGCTTCCAGCACATTTTTTGCTCAATTCGACTATGATTATTATTTGTTATTATTCTTGACAATCTACTCGATTTTCATCCTCGTTCATCTCCATGCGCGACGTGATAGATTAAGCTGCTTGAAATACACACGACAATTTTCTTTTTTTCTTTTCTTTATTGTTTTTGTTGCACTTTTATTTCGTCGTCGTCTTCTTCTTATTTTTTTTTCGTAACATGCTATGGTTATATGTGGGGAGAATATAGCTGAAATTTAACTAGAAAAGACTGCGTGTGTGTTTATTTTGTTTTTCATCGTTAAATATTGCTGTCATTTAGCTGCTTTGAAAGATTGTATGTGATAGTAGGAGTTGAGTAAAAATTGGCCATTTTACTAGAGTTGAAATTATTATTATTTTCTTGTTGCTTGGGGCTGTGTTGCTACTTTAGAGTTTATGTTTCTGTACCGTTTTGTTTTTTTTTTTTCTCTTCTTCTTCTAAATTTGAATGATTTGTTTCTTTATGTTTTAAGTCGAAAGGTGTTTCAAAATGATGTTCCAGCCATAGGTCCATGCCTCGGCATATCATTCGAGTTTTCATTTTTTCACCGCTGAATTGGATGCCGGAAGATTCGAGCCCGATGTGCTGCTATCACTGGAACATTGTAACGATGATGACGATGTTGTCATTTGTGTGGTGGTTGATAATTGTGATTGACTATGCGCTGGATTGCGAGCACCAGACCCACTGCTGCTGCTATTTAAAGCCATTCGTTGCATTTGACGTATAACCGTTGCAGCATGATATGCTTGCTGCAGAAAAGAAAATAACAAAGCAGAAGAAAAGATACACACAATCACATACCGGGACAACATGGATTAGCTTAGAAATAGTTCTAATTTTCATCGTGCACAAATAAATGGTTTTGTGACATTTAGAAAATCTATATCTGCGTGCATTGGTACACACAAGTTGCAAACACAATGTGTCGTCAATAGCTTACCTTCCATCTGGATTTTGCAAAAGTTTTCTTAAGCTGCTCGGAAACGGTTCCATGAATGTTCTTGTCACTGGCGGCATTGCCCGATATCCTGTTACGAAAATGTATTGGAATTGAATGTAAATGACAAAATGATACATTGTTAGCATGCTGTGCCATGTGTATGTTTATGGACAATTATTTTCGGGTTGAGTACACAGTTAAAAGTGAATTGATACTTACCATGGATGAGCTAAAGCTTGTTTACATGTATATCGTTTATCTACATTAACACACATTAGGTTTTGGATGAAGTCCTTGGCCGAGTCGCTGATTTCGTCCCAGTACGGTGAATCAAATTCGAATTCACCTTTCAAAATTTGAGCAAATAAATTTGCATCGTTTTCATCGTAGAACGGTGGATAACCACACAATAAAATGTATGATATCACTCCTATGCTCCACACATCGACCGCTTTGCCATATGGTTTTTGGGCAAGCACCTCTGGTGCAACGTAACCGGGTGTTCCGCATGCTGTGGCCATTATGCCGGAATCTTCCATTTTCGACAATCCAAAGTCACTTATCATTATCTTACTTTCCTCGTCAGGGCTGTAGTACAGCAAATTTTCCGGCTAATTGAGAAAAAAAAGCACATGAACAAAGAGAAGAGAATAAAATAAAACAGATATGAAACACAGGAAATTAATATAGAGTGTTCGATTTAAATACTGGCAGTAGTAGTCTACTACTTCTCAATCTCTATTTTCCTGTCTTTGTCTCCTTTATTTTCCCTCGTTCACACTGTCCACATTTAAAAGCATGCAACAAATATGACGAAAACCCAAAGCACAAACAATATCATTGTGTGTGGATTTGTGTAATTTACTCTTACCTTCAAGTCTCTGTGCACAACGCCCTGTTCATGCATGTAATCCACAGCCTCAAGAACTTGTCGAATCAAACCGGATGCATCCTTTTCCGTGTACGAACCCTTCTCTACGATACGATCGAATAGCTCGCCACCGGTTACTCTGTAAACGAATACAAACACATTCAATCAATTGATCAGGTTTCTGCTGTTGCTACGTTGCAACTGTATCATCATTAGCAGCAGCAGCTCATTGTGCATTCAATACTTACAATTCCATAATTAAGTAGACCTTGTTTTTATCTTCATAGGTCTCCAGTAATTGAACTATATTCGGATGAGTTAACCTGCACAGCATAAATGCGGAAAATGGCGAAAACAACAAAAACAAAATTCAATATATTTATCAATAATTAAAGAATCGTCTTACATGCGAAAAATGAATGAGCTCAAAAATGTGTTTTCCTTTTTTTTTCTTTTTGCTTTCATGACGAAGTTTCTTTTCAAGTTTCAATTTATTGATATCCACTTGTTTTCTGTTCACATAAATATTTTTCGTCTGTTTCGAGTAAAATTGAGAAAAGATTCTTTAGCTTATAGTATCGATTTCTATAATACGATTTCCTTGAAGCCGAAGAGAAAAAACCAGACCGCCGAGCGTCGCTTCGCTCCGCTCTGCGTTCTTCAGTTTTTATTTACTTATTCTATTTTGTTGTTTCACAACAAACTTTTTTTTGGCCCACTACATGAAATGTATTTCATCAAAGTAACTTTGAAGTAATATATTGCAACAAAGTACAGAGCAAAAAAATTCTCAGTTATTTCAAAAATGATTTACAAGATCTTGGTTTTACTTCTTTTTTGAACCAAAGGCAGTATTGGTTTAAATTAAATAAATAATATGAGCATAGATCCAAAGTCACTTTAATTCTGTTCAAGATCCAGAAAATACTGTCCGCGAAAAGCTTGAAATAATGTAATTAAAAAAAAAAAAAAACATTTCATAATAAAAATTTGATTAGCGTTTTGAGTCATTATGCACTTATTTGTCGTCACTGCCACTGTTTTAAATTAAATAAAAAATATGAGCATAAAATTGAAATTCACCATAATTTGTTTCAGTACTCAAAAAGTATTGAGACGAAAAAAAAGCAGATTAGTAGCTCTACATTTTATGTAGTGCTAAAAACGAGATTTTGCATTGGCCATGCGAAAATCGTTTATAAGCACGATGACTAAAAGCTAAGCTGCTGATGTCTCAGCAGACGAAAATGAATGCGTCGTTTCGCATTTCCTCGGAGAATTGATTTTGTATATATGTGTGTGTATGTGTTCAAATCGAATTTCATTCTTCACCGATTACCGTCGTTCAAATACTCGAAGAGCACAATTTTGACATTGCCATTGCTCCAGAGTGAAACATAGTATGCTTCTCTCGTTTCATTTTAGAAAAAACAAAAGCAGTGTACAAAAAATAATTTAAGAATAATAAGAAAAACTATGTAGCATATGTTCTATAAAGCTTGAAATGCGGCTCTTCCACATGATATTCGTCCCCGAGTTTGTATAAATCGCACAGAATAAAAACTAAAAAATTGAAAGAAAATCGTGTTCGCCTGCATTTTCTGTAAAAGAAAAAAGCTTTGCATACAGCGTAAATACCCTAATGATTTTCTATCTGGATTGATCTTTTGTGATTTTTGTTCATTTTTTTCTTTCATTAAGTTTCTTGTTCGTGTGTTGATGTGTTTAATTTTGTTGTTGTTGTTCCATCGTTTTTTTTAATCTTATTTGGAACATATGTGTTTTGATAATTTTAATTTTTTTTTCTTGTTGTTGTTGTTGTTGATTGTGTTTTTGTTTGGCATATTTTTATTCTAGGTTTTTGTATTTTTTTTTGTTTGTTTGTTTGTTTTGGTTTGTTCATGTCATCACTCACCGCGGACCGTCTACATTTCCGTCGCCACCATCATTCTGATTAGCACTGAACCTGAGAAAAGAAAGAATAGAGAGTATGGCCAACAGAAAATAAAGAACAAACTGAAACAATAACAAAATACGCAATCAAGAAAATTTAAAGAAAAAAGTTCTGTGTGTGAGGGATTTAGATTTTTGGTTTATTTTCTTCGTTTATTTTTTTCTCTTTTCTTGGAGGGTGAGGTGACTCGAATTGCAATTTGATGGAAATGAGAAGTTTAATTTAATGGAAATAAGGTGTTTAGTACAAAATTCATTCGTCGGTGGTTCTTTTTGGCGCCGTCATGTACCAGTTTATTTGGTCACCACAAAAATTGAAAGAAAAAAAAAAACTGCCGGAGACTTGACGTTTGGAATATACATTGAATCGGACTGGATGACAGTCAGTTACACACACAATGTGTCGTCAGAGGAATCGGATTGAATTTTGCTTGGGAATAGTTGAACCAAAAATTTGGAAATAATTCTCAGAAGGCGCAACAGAACAACACATCATAGGATGTTGAGTTAAACACACAAAAAAAGAGAAGAAGATAAGTACAGAAAATGAAAAACAAAAACAAAAATGAATAATAAACTGACAGATAACAAGAGATAGAAAACATGAGGAAACAAAAAATCGAATGAGAGAAAAAAACAGATTGATGGAGATAGAAGAAATAGAGATTGAGGTAGGATAGATATTTATTTTGGGATACAGTGCACAAACAGGTGTATACATACAAATGGAGGTTGGAGGTTTAGCGTATACGGATCACAATTATTACGTTTTTACATTCTAGTATATATTAGACGGTGGGTTTTTTTTTAGTTCTATTACGATATATACGTGCTTGATTATTTATAACTATGTTATTTTCTAACAAAATATCCATTAGCCATATCATCAGAGCGGGCATTTTGTGTGGTTGGCGAGAGACAGCAAGTGGAAGATTCGCCAGCAAGCTGAATGACTGTTACCGTAAGCTACTAATGTAATTATATGCCAATGATGTATTCCGAATCACATACAAAAGATCCCACAAAAAATAAATTAAAACACAAATTATCACCACCGGATCTGGAATCTTTTTCATTTATTCTGTCGTCGCTCGTCAAAAAGCATTGGATGAACAATATACATTCTAATGTATGATTTCTCTCTCTCTCTCTCTCTCTCTCTCTCCCTCTCTCAATGATTTATCCATTATTATTTTGCCCACTCCATCTCAAGTCAAGAAAAGCTCTGCGTGAATTTGAATTGCAGTACAGTTTTTGGCCAGAATTCATGCTGTTACTTTGTATGCGCGATGCAGCAAGTGCGATATATCGTGCGAAATGTGTGAAAATCGTTTGCAGGATGTCCGCTTTTGCTTGGGGCTGCTACCAAAAATAGCTCATAACAGCAAATCATCATCGTTCATGCGTATGAAAAATGGTAATTACTCGGTTTTATGGCCGAAAATATCAAAAACTATGTGGCGTGCATACACAAAGCACAAAGAGAATACACACACAAATTATGAATAAACAAAGTGAGCACGGTAATTACGTTTGCATCGTTTTTGCGAGTTTTCTTTGATTCAACTCGAAGAAAGCCAATTTAACGAGCGAAATGTGAATGAATGGGTCTGCCAAAGCAGAAACATAAGAAATAAATATGTAGGCAACAAAAAAAAAATGCCAGCCAGCCCATGGCTGAACAAACAATTCAGAGTGAGCCGACGAGTGAAGTTGAACGCGAGTCAACGGAGAAACCGGAAAATGGAAAACGTTACTCAAATGGTGTAATGGTTGCCTCTATGGGCCGCGGGTGTGCTTAAATATTTGAAGAAAATGAAGTCGAAGAAGAAGAGGAAGAGAAAAAAGTGGTTATTATTAAATGAACGAATGGAATATAGCAACGAACATCAATCAAATTGAAATATACATAAAGTGTTCATTAGCCCGATTGTTATTTCATTTAAGAATTGCCTCGCACGCGCGATTTTTCTTCACTTCCCATTTCTCATGTTGCTGTTTTTGCTGCTTTTATTGTTCATTTCTACAACCGTTTTATTGTGTTTGTATACAATATACGTCGATACGAAATGATATGAGGTGCAAAGGATTTTGTGCACTTGTTTTGGATGAAATGTAGCGAAACTAACCCGAAGGGGACTTCGGGTTACGTGCTCTTGTTCTCACTCATATCTCGCTTCCATGGGTATCTCTCTCTTTGCATGTGTGGCATGGCGAAAGTATTTTTTTTTTTTCGACGATTTTTGGGAATTTAGCTCATAAAGCATGGGATAGGCTATACGCTCAATTATTCATAAGCTTAAATACCTGTGTGCGCTTCCACAACCGTTCGACGTGCTAACCGCTTCGCTTGATAATATTGAATGCACGACAGAGAAATAAATGTATAAATCAAGCGAATAAATCATATGAAAAAAACAGCGCGCGCGTCGTGGCAGGATTTCGGGTTGAATGATGGATAAAGCAAGCTATCGCACATCTAAATGAAGTGTTCAACAGCGACAAACAAGCGATAACGAAAAGCAAATGAAGAATGAGAGAAAGAGAAAGGCAGAAAAAGAAATGCAGAAAGGAAAACACGTTGGCACGAGCGGATTGTGCGATTTATTTTTTTTTTTCTCATCACTCGTGAATAAGATTCTATGCAAACAATCTATCGTATCGAGTGTCGGAGCTTGGTTTTCATTTGGTTTTGGTTTTCGATTCATACATTATTATCGACACGAGCTCTAATCTACTGTGTATGTGTGTTAGAGTGCACAATGCACATGTGTAAATAAGAAATTGAACGAATGGCCATCGGCAATGGAGGCAAATCTTGTCCCTGATTCAGAGCGTACGCATTGTCTCCAAATTTCGATTCTTTCGATACTTTAACGTTGACCAACAGACACCCAAGGATTTGTGGTACTGTTGCTGCTTGCACTGCCCCGTTGCCGTCGTCTTCGTTATCGTTTGGAGTTTTATTTCAATGAAGGTAACACATTTGATGAGTATCTTCATCTTGTGCTCATCGGTGTCATGGCATTAAATGAATGCGCGTGCAAAAGATACGCATCCTCTTTTGAGAGTCTTGAGCAACGAAACGGAACGGAGAGAGAGAGAGAGAGAGAGAAAGAGCGCTGGGCGTTTTGAATGTATTTGTTCGGGAAATTGGTTGATTGTATCCGGGCTAATTTAGTTAGGCAAAGAAGAACCACAAAGCAAATCAGCAATCACATCAACATGAATTCACACAACAGACAGACAAATAAAATGAGGAAAATGAGCGGGAATGGCGAGGGATACGCGCACACCGTGACGCGTGACCGTTCACGGACGAAAAAGAGTATGGGAGAGTGATTGAGTTGAAAGAGCACAATCAAATGAAAATTAGTCTGATTCCCTAATTAGAATCAAGTGAATGCCTTGAAGTGGGAACAAAACGAAACGGAACGGAACACACAAAAAATGCTCTGTTATCTAAGACACACAACTCATATTATTCCGGTTAGATAACAATCGATGTTGACGAGTATTCGGCTCATTCTTTTTCGACCGATCCATACCACCGATTCGATGTGTATATGCGTCCCCATTCATTATCACCCGAAGCAAATGGCTACTGATTTTACGGATAATATTTCATAATTGACAAACACAAAAACAAACGCATACACACACAAAACACCAAAATATATGTACATTTTAAGTGAAAATGGGAGAGAAAAATCAATAGCTTTTCCAATTTGTGCTGCAAGTCAATTAATTTGATACGGAAACCACGATGATTGTGTGTGCGTGCACCTATTGAAATGACCAAGCACCGAATTCAACAGCACAAAATCCCAAAATCATAGCCAAATACGATGATTCTAAACAAACGGGCCCATTCCCTTCACACAAAACTCCATCTCTTTCGCTCGCTTACACCAAATATCATCTGATAAAATGTACGCAAATGTAATTGTCAATAAATTAGAGACGAATGGGACACAAACGCAAATTATGCATTGTCCAACCATTTAATTAGTGCTTAATATTATATCCATTGAAACATCGAAATGAAAACACACATAACGCCTAAGCCCAAAAGCACATACACCCATTTATATGGGGAACGAATGTAAATGGGACGAAAAACGGAAACGATGAAAATGAGAAACGGAAAATCGAATGAATAAATATGAATTTTCTATACAACGGCTGCTAATAAATTCCAATGCTATTCGTCCAATTCATATTTAAACGCACATATGGCTTTTGGGTATGTTTTGATTTGCATGAGTTTCCCATCGACAGCTGGAGAGGTGTACTGTACATGAGTGATTGAGTGGTGGAAGATTATAGTAACAATATTTATGTATATGCACGCATAAATACTTATTTCTATTTTATTCGAAAAAACAAAAGAATTGTTGAATTATTTGTTGGCTTGTTGAATATTCATTCCGGTGTTGGATATTCAATTCTTTTTTCACCTCTGTCTCTGTCTCTGTATGTGTGTTCAACGCGTTTTTCCCATTTCTCTCTCTCTCTCTCTCTCTCTCTCTCTCACACACACACATTGTGATTGTAGTTGTTTTTGTTCTGTCTCTCATTTTGTTATCAATCTAAACAGAGTGTGTTACATTGGCGTGCGTATTTTAATTGCCAATTTTCGAAAAATTAAAACGATAGAATTTAAAATTAATTGAAAAATTGAAATGAGTAATGCTATAATCACCAGTTTAGCGGCAATAAAATGCCTCAAATTCAATTATTAACAAACTGTTAATTGCCTGAAATTTGTTTAACATGCAGCAGCACAAACAACATCTGCTGCCACCGTCGTATACCTTTAGCCCGTGTCATTGCATGATTTTGCTTAAATTGGCTCATTAACTGCTCGGTACAAATGAGCAAATTTGGTTTACGAATCGTGATATCATCCGAAAATTGTGTGCATCGGCAGTTTTTCTTTCTCTTTTTTTTCTCCCTTCGAATTCGTTTGATGTTTGCATCTTTTTCTCTCTCTCTCTCTCTCTCTCTCTC